TCCTCCCTGTTACATATCACTGAGATATCTGTCTGAGCCCTGCATCTCTACCCCCTCCTCTAACCCTGAGACCTGCTTCTACTCCTTTTTCCTATATCAGCCGCCGCCTCCATGCTGAGTTTGCCGCTGAAAGAGACTGGGACCAGTTGGACCAGTTCCACCAGCCTCGGAACCTCCTCCTGGCCTTGGTGGGGGAAGTTGGGGAGCTGGCAGAGCTCTTGTGAGTAGATGAAAGGCTTCTGGAACACTCTTTTTGTTGTGGCGGGGGGGCGGGTATTTGATCATCAATATCCATGGAATCCTTCCCCTTCTCACTGCAAGCCTCTGTTCCTGGTTGTGGGGACACAGATGACTCCACTGTCCCTGCCCTCTAGGGGTGCCCAGCCTCCTGTGAGAGAAAACAGGAAGGCAGATCTTGGTCTAAGAAGGGGTAGTGGCAACCTTCCTTTACCTCTGCCTGTGGGGTGCAAAGGAAGGTATTTTATAAAAGACCTGCCTGTGGCATTCCAGGCCGGGGAACTTCATGTGAATAGCTAGTCAAGTGGGAAAGGGGAAGTTAAATTCAAGGAGAACCTGGGGGGGAAAGGGAGGACATCTGTAATCCTTTCAACAGTAAACATACTTTTTTAATTCAGGGAGAACCTGAAACTTTAGTTGTAAGCTTCTCGAGGAAGAGCTAGGAGTTTGTATCTGTTTTGTTACTTGGTGTGTTCCAAGTGCCTGGCACACAATAGACATTCAGTTCATATCTACTGAATAAGTGATAGGGCTGTAGAGGAAAGGGGTGGGATATGAACCCACAATGATAAATTGGGGTTAGAAATTGATGGAGTTTGGACAGAAGACCTGACCAGATTTGAGTGGTAGAAAGAGCACTGTGTCACAGGGAGCATTGAATCACCAAAAGAATTAGGTCAGGGAGACCAGTGAGGAAGCTGGTGTAGATCAGGCCAGAGGTGGTGAGGCCTAAGCCAGTGAAGTCACTGCGGGGATGGAGAAGTCGTGGCACAGAGGCATGTGAGGGCAAGCTGTTCATTTATTGCAGATTTATGAGCATCATCTGTGTTCTTGGTCTTTTAGAATCAAGAGATATGACTGTCCATAAGACAGACATCCTTCTTACCTTCACAGTGCAAGGGACACTGACAATAATTAAGGAAACTAATATTAAAACATGAGCAATTGTGATAAGTTCTATGAGGAAAATAACACAAGGTTGTGAGAAAGAAGGAAACAGGGAAAAGGTTTTTCAGAAGATGTAACACATGAGACCTGAATAACAGGAAGGAGCCAGCCATGGGAAAGCTCTGCGGGGAGCAGGGAGAAGATCATTCAAGACAAAGGGAAAGTAAGTGCTAAGGCCCTGTGACAGTTTGCCCTGTTTACAAGACAGAAAAAAAACTGTGACTTTTAAGTGGGGAGTTAGAGTAGTGGATAATGACATTGGAAGGCACAAGAGTCAGTGAGCTCATGCAGGACCTGAAGGGCATGGTTAGGGGTTTGGATTTTATTCTATGCACAGCTAAGGAAGTTTTAGCACAAAAGGGACAAACTGTAACTTGTGCTTTTAAAAGATGATACTGGGCAAGAATAATGAGTTAGCCGGCTTCCCCCGTGGTCCAGGTCTGAGGTTAAGTCTCGGGTGGCAGTGGCTAGAGCTGGGAGAGAGTAGAATTGGGTCTTGAGCAGTGAAATGATCTCTTGCCAACTCTTTGGCTCAAGTGGGGACACAGAAGTCTGGGTGATTCATCTGTTGGGAGTCTCTTCCTCACCCTGATGCTACCCAGGATCCATTGGGTTTAATTGTCCTTGGAGGAAGTTTCTAGGACATGGGAATTCATTGCTGCAGGGACTGCGGTGCTCTGAGAGGTGGAGCCCGTTGTCCTAGCTAGCCTCTGTGCGTGTGTGCCTATCTGTGTGTTCCATCCCCAGTCAGTGGAAGCCCGATGAGGAACCTGGTCCCCAAGCCTGGCCCCCTAAGGAACGGGCAGCCCTTCAAGAGGAGCTTAGTGATGTCCTCATCTACCTGGTAACATTAGCAGCCCGCTGCCGTGTGGATCTTCCCCAAGCAGTGCTCTCCAAGATGGACACCAACCGGCGACGCTACCCAGCACATCTGTCCCGTGGCTCTTCCCGCAAGTATACAGACCTGCCCCATGGGGCCACCTCTGAAGACCAGACTGTGGGGACTGCAGACCTTGCCTGTGAGTCCACAGGTCAGGCCTCAACCTAGACACATGGGCCCAGGATCTGCAGCTCAGCATGGCATCTGAGGAACAGATGGTGACCTGGCCATGGAACCTCATTCTAGTCCTTTCCTAACAGATCCCTGGCCTGGGGCCCCACTTCCTGAGGTCCGAGGCTCAAGAACCTCTGGAAGACAGCCTCTTGGTACTCTTCTCTCAATAAAAGTTTTGTTTAGCAGCTTCTAGATTCCTTCTGGTGTGGCAGTGGGGGCTGTCTCAGCACGTACTAGAGAGGGGCACCAGGGTTGCTTCTGAGTCCAACTCCCACATTTGTCTATTGTACTTTAAACCTTCAGGCCAGATATCTGTCTGTGGGATCTCCGGCAAGTTTCCTTCCCCTTAGGGGCCTCTAACAGATTGGAGGCTGTACATTGCCTTAAGGGCCCAGGTTTTGGAGCCAAGCCATCAGGGATCAAATGCCATATCTTTGATACTTAGCTGGATGATCTTCATTGGTTTCCTCATCTAAATAGAAATCAGTATTATCTACCTGTTAGTGTTGTAAAGTTTAAGTGAGTTACTACTGTCAGTAGAGTGCTTAGGACAGTGCCTGGCATATAGAACTTTGTAAGTTTGCAACTATTATCTGTCTTTGTTTCTTTGTTGTTCATCCTCACCCAAGGATATTTTTTCCATTGATTTTTCTTTTTTTAGAGAGAGTGGGAGGGAGGAGGGAAGTGGAGAGAAAGAGAAAAACATTAATGTTAAAGAGACCCATCAATTGGTTGCCTCCTGCACGAGCCCCAGCCGGGTCTGTGCATCGAACCCAAGACCCTCCGGTGCTTAGACTGACACTCTAACCACTGAGCAATGCCTGCCAGGGCTCATTGTTTTTCAACTCAAAATTTTGCGAGGCTCAGCAGGAAATGTCAACAGCTAAGGTAGGCCTGGGTCCAGGACTGAACCTCAGACCCCAGCACAAACTTGGATCAGGTCTCTGGCATGGAGCAGAATAGGGCTTCTACTTCTCTTGGGCTTGGGTCTCTTGTCCCTTGCTCTGCACTCCCAAGAACAATGTCTCTATGCATTTCTGTACCTAAGGACAGTGTTAGGTGGGTATGATTTACCTGAGGCACATCACTCTCTCTCCTGAGATGCCCTTGGCCTGCCTCTTTCATAGGGTGTGGTAATACTGGACAAAAGATCTTTACATTATTTTTGCTGCCCTTTTAAGCCTGTTTCCTTATCAGTAAAATGAGGCATTTCCCTTTACTGGCCTCATCCCTCTTAGTGATATCCCTCTTACCAGTGACCTCTCTTACTTCCCAGGTAAAACAATCCAGATTAGAACTGCTTCAGCTTTGTGTTCCCAAACCCTACCAGTGATAGTTGGAGCCTTATCCTTACTGGTCGGATTTCATTCCATCTCCTTGATCAACTATCTCCTCTCCTCTCCCTTATATATAATCGAGTTCTCTTCCTTTCACACCAGCACAAAGACTGAGTCTTCTCCCTACAAAACCAACAAACTCTCCAGCTACTTCCCTCACTTTCCACAACCAAGCCTCTTAAAAAGGGTTGTGTACACTTATCCACCCTGCTTTGTCCTGCCATTTATACACGAACCCACTCAAGACTAGCGTTTACCCCTCTCTCTCCACTAACACTGCTCATCGCTTGCCCAAACTCCAGAGAAGAATCTGATGGAGCTGACCACTCCCTCTGTGACACTTTCCTTACATTTCCCAAACAAGACACTTCTGGTTTTCTGTCTACCTCTGGCTGTTCTTTCACAGGTTCCTCTTGGGTCCCTCTTCTGGATGAGGTGTCACACTCCAGACCTGATATCCACAACCTGTTATTCCCAATCACCTCTCTGAGCCCTCCACATTTACCTTACATTCAACAATTCCAGATTGGGGGTAACAACTGCTGCCACTTCAACTGTCCTCTTCACCCTGTACCATCTCAGTGACACTACTTGCCATCATCCAAGCTAAATAATGAACTTAGCCCCACCTCCCTCATTCTCAGCATTTTAGCTCCTTAATATGTCCACTCCATCCCTCTCCTTTCATCCCTCAAGGCTTCCTTGCTGCCCTGGATCCTTTCACCAGGTTTCTTAAAACCCCTAATGCTCTGTCTCCTGCCACCTCCTTGCTTGTCCCTATCTTCCACCCCAGGGAATGTCTGCAAGCTCTAACTGGTCTGGAATGCACTTTCAGGGGATTCCCCCACCCTACCTCTCTCTTAGCCTTCAAGACCAGCTTAAACTTATCACCTCCAAGAAACACCTCTCTTAACTCCAGGATTGCATCAAAGACCTACCAACAACTCCCCTATACCAGGTGACTGGACTACAAACGCCTGAATACTTGTCCCTGCTCTGCCATTCACTGCCTGTCAGTACCTATTTACTCATCTGTGTTAATGAAGATACGGTTTACCTAAGGGGGATGCTGAGGAAGAAAAGGAGCTAATAACAATGATGAAGCCCTTAGCGCCTTTAACATAGTGCTATAAAGTACTTTTGTCTGTCTCTTCAGTACACTGAGCTGCATGACGTTCATGGCTGCTCACCAAAGCTCTGCCAAGTGCAGTGCCTGTTTGAGCACGAATGTGCTCTACATATGGACCCTTGCAGATCGGAGGTTATGAGGACATAACTAAGGGCAGAGTGTGGGATGACTCCACACGCACAAACGCAGTTCCAGAAACCTTTTGGGCTTATATCCATCTCCACTTGAGCCTGGGGAAAGCCCCAACTTTGCTCCTCTCCCCACCCGCCACATTCACAGGCACCGGTGGGGTGAGTATATAACACTTTATTTACTAACATGGGCTGAGGACTTGTAGTAGGGACAAGTGGCCAAGGTTTTCAGAAATCCCGGTAGGGGATTCGCCATGTCACCCAGGTTCCAGGCAGCCAGTTCTGTCATCCCTCCCTTTCCCGGACCAGGGTGGCGGGGACTCATCGTCCTGGTTAATTCAGCCACTGGGTGTTGGGGCCCTAACCGACCCTCCTCAGCCGGACACTAGCACTCCACGGCGACAAGCACGTTGCTCAGCTACCCTCGCACTCTGGACAGCGCTCCGTCGCAGTGGTGGCTGTAGCACCAGCAGGCAGCTTGAAGTCTCGGCCGCAGACAGCGCAGATGTACAGGCGGTGCCGCAAGTGTGCGCGACGGTGGCGGATGAAGTGCGAGCTGAGGCGGAAGCGCTGGCCGCACTCGCCGCACGGGTAGGGCCGCTCGCCTGTGTGCGTGCGCGCATGCTCCGCCAGGTTGGAGCGGTGGCCGAACCGGCGGCCGCACACGGCACAGCGGTGCGGCTTCTCACCCGTGTGCACGCGCCGGTGCTTGGCCAACGCCGAGCTCTGCGCGAAGCGTGTGCCACAGTCGGCACATTCGTAGGGCCGCTCGCCGGTGTGCGTGCGTCGGTGGCGGGCCAGGCACGAACTGCCGCCGAAGGCGCGTCCGCAGTCCGGGCAGGCGTAGGGCTTCTCGCCGGTGTGCACGCGCAGGTGCTGCGCGTAGTTGGAGCTCTGCGCGAAGCGGCGGCCGCACTGCGTGCACCCGTAGGGCTTCTCGCCAGTGTGCCGCCGCCGGTGCTGCTGCAGGTTGGAGGCGGCAGAGAAGCGCTTGTCGCACTCGGGACACTCGTAGGGCCGCTCGCCGGTGTGCGTGCGGCCGTGTTTGGTCAGCGCCGACTTTTGAGAGAATCGCTGGCCGCACTCGGTGCATATGAAGGGCCGCTCGCCGGTGTGCGTGCGACCATGTTTGGTCAGCGCCGACTTCTGCGAGAAGCCCCTGCCACACTCGGTGCATTCGAAGGGCCTTTCACCCGTGTGCGTGCGCGAATGCTTGGCTAGCGTGGAGCGGCGCGCAAAAGCTCGGCCGCAGTCCGGGCACGCGTGTGGGCGCGCCGGGTCGGCAGACGGCGCTGGCGCCTTGCTCAGGACCTGCAGGGAACCGTGAGACAGGTCAGTCATTACCCATAGACAGAGATCAAGAGACCTGGGTGTCCGCAAGCTGCAATCTCTCAGTTACCCGTATGTAAAACAGGAAAGCAAGGGTGCCTGCCACATAGTATAGCTGTGCACATTAAACAGTGCCTTAACGCACGTAGCACAATGCCCAGCATCGTTCTACCTATTCTTTATAATTTCAGAAAAGATTAAGGGCATATAATGTGCCAGCCTCTGTTCTAGGCACTGTGAATTCAGCATTACATTTAATTGATTAATTAATTTATTTATTTTTGGTATGTGCCCATAGCGGGAACCGAACCTGGGACTCTCTGGGCTGCAGGCCGACACTCCAACCACTGAGCCAAACCGGCAGGGCACATTTTTTAAAATTACTGCTTTTGGGAAGAATGGATAAGGAGTACTGGTATTTGGGTATGGGGATGCTGCACAATTTTTTAAAATTATGTTTTCATTGATTTCTTAGAGAGAGAGAAGGAAGGGAGAGAGATATAGAAACATAAGTGTGAGAGAGATAACATTGACTGGCTGCCTCCTGCACACCACACCGCCCACCAGGAATTGAGCCAGTAACCCAGGCATGTGTCCTGACCGGGAATCTAACCGGGACCTCTAAGTCCATGGGATGAAGCTCAATCCACTGAACCACACCGGCTGGGTGGGATTTAAATAAGGTTAAAGAAACGACTGATGTAACAAGAATAAAGACCTAACGGAGGTAAGAAAGCAGCTGGAGAGGGCACAGCAAGACCTTCTCTAGGGCAGTTTTGCCAGTTAGGACCCAGGAGTGGCAATAAAACGTTCCTGCGGCAGAATGCATGAGAAAGAGAGTAATTGATGGGGTGGTCCTGGAGGGGATCTCTTAGCTTAAGGCCTTGTAATATGAATGAGATGGGGAACTATTAGAAGAGATGTTAGATGGTACTGAGCAGGAACATGACCAGATCAGATTAATTTTAAAAGTCTCCATCAGGCCCTGGCCAGTTTGGCTCAATGGTATCAGGTTTGATTCCAGTCAAAGACATGTACCTGGGTTGCAGATTCGATGCCGCCTGGTCGGTTGAGGCAACCAATTGATGTGTCTCTCTCACATTGATATTTCTTTCTCTCTTCCTCCCTCCCTTCCATCCTATCTAAAAATTCAAGGAAAAATATCCTCGGTTGAGGATTAACAAGATAAAAATAAAATTAATTAATAAATAATAAATAAAGTAAATGCCTCTATCAGGTTGCTGGGGTTGATGTAGGCCAAGTGGGCAGGAACCCAGGGAGGCTACTGTACTGCAGTCATCTGGCAAGAGAATATAGTTGCTCAGATACAGGTGACAGGTGAAGAGTGAAGGTGGTAAGAACTGGTCTGTTTCTGAATATATTTTTTCCATTTGAGACATCTGACTTGATAAATAAGATTAGATACAGGATGTAAAAAAGAGTCCAATTACTCCAAGGATTTTGATTTTAGCAACTACAAAGGTGGAGTTTCCATCTGCAGACATGAGGATGGTGGGAAAAGCAAGTTGAAAGATAAGATCTCTTTCAAATCACATCTCCAATTCTTTCTTTTTGGGTTAATCCTCCCCTGAGGATATCTTTTTTTCCACTGATTTCAGATAGAGTGGAAGGAAGGGAGGGGGAGAAAGAGAAACATTGACTGAGAGAGACACTTCGATTGGTTGCTTCCTGCACAACCTCAACCAGGGCCAAGGATGGAACTTGCAACTGAGGTACATGCCCTTCATGGGGAACCTAACCCATGACCCTTTGACCCTTAGCTAACCACTGAGCAAAGCCGGCCAGGGCACATCTCCAATTCTTGACACATCTGAACCTCAGGAGATAGGCCTACACTAGAGATGTTAATTGGGAAGCTGTCAGCCTATAAATGGTTTTTAAAGTCTTGAGACTGAATGAGATTACCCAGGGAATGGGCAGAGAGAACCAGGGGCAGCAAGATGAAGAGCAGCCAGTGAGACAGGAGATGGTGTCTTAGAAGCTTGGCCGAGGCCCTGGACGGTTTTGCTCAGTGGTTAGAGCGTGGGCCTGCGGTCCAGAGAGACCAGGGTTTGGTTCCCTCTAAGGGCACATACCTTGGTTGCAGTTTGTCTCCAGCCCTGGTTGGGTCGTATGGGTGGCAGCCACTCGATGTGTCCCTTTCATGTCGATGTTTCTCTCTCTCTCTCCCTCCCACTCCATCTAAACAAAAAATGGAAAAATGTCCTCGTGTGAGGATAAAAAAAAAAAAATTAAAAAAAGCCCTGGCGGATTTGGCTCAGTGGTTGGAGCGTTGGCCTGCGGACCACAGAGTCCTGGGTTTGGTTCCTGTTAGGGGCATGTACAAAACAAAACAAAACAAAAAGCTAGGCCGAAAACAAATCCAGGCTTTTCTTTTTTTTCCCTTTTATTGATTTTTAGAGAGAGCGAGAGAGAAACATAAATGAGAGAGAACATTGACTGGCCTCTTCCTGCATGTCCCCCACTGGGGATTTGGCCCATAACCTGGGCATGTGCCCTGATTGGGAATCGAACCAGTGACCTCTTGTGCATGGGTCGACACTCAACCACTGAGCCACACTGGCCGGGCCTAATCCAGGCTTTTTTTTTTTTTTTTTATCCTCACCTGAGGACATTTTTCCATTTTTTGTTCAGATAGAGTGGGAGGCAGAGAGAGGGAGAAAGAGAAACATCAACGTGAAAGGGACACATCGAGTGGCTGCCACCGACACAACCCAACCAGGGCCAGGGACAAACTGCAACCAAGGTCCATGCCCTTAGTGGGAACTGAACCCAGATCTCTCTGGACCGCAGACCAACGCTCCAACCGCTGAGCCAAACCGGCCAGGGCCCAATCCAGGCTTTTTAATAAGCTTTTAAGATCCAGCACATAACATTTTTTAATGTTTTTTTGTTTTGTTTTGTTTTTTTTAAACTTATTTTTAAAGAGAGAGAGGAACGGAAAGGGAGGAAGAGATAGAAACATCCATGAGAGAGTCCGGCTGGTGTGGCTCAGTGGTTGAGCATCAATGGTCGCCAGTTCAGTTCTGGTCAGGGCACCTGTCCAGGTTCTGAGCCAAATCCCCAACAGGGGGCGTGCAGGAGGCGGCCAACTGAAGTTCTCTCTCATCAATGCTTCTATCTCCCTCCCTTTCCCTTCCTCTCTAAAATCAATATAGAATCTGTAACAAAAATTAATTAATTAATTAATTAAAAAGTAATAATAAAGCCCTGGCCGGTTTGGCTCAGCGGTTAGAGCATCCATCTGCGGTCTGGAGAGACCCGGGTTCGGTTCCCGCTAAGGGCACGTACCTCGGTTGCAGTTTGTCCCCGGCCCTGGTTGGTCGTGCGGGTGGCAGCCACTCGATGTGTCCCTTTCACGTCGATGCTTCCCTCTCTCTCTCTCTCTCTCTTCCTCTCTCTCCCTCCCACTCTATCTGTGCAAAATAATAACAATAATAATAATAAAATAAAACCAATAAAAAAAAAATCCATGACAGATAAACATTAATCAGCTGCTTCCTGCATACCCCCTGCTGCGGACAGAGCTCACAATCCAGGCATATGCTCCTGACCGGAATGGAACCTGTGATCTCTTCACAGTACATGACATTTTTTAAGCTGTGAGGAAGACAAGGGTAAAACCCCAATACAATTTTGAGGCCTGACCTGAAAATTAGCCAGTTTCATGAAGCCTAGGCTTCTAGAAATAAAATAAGAAAAAAGAAGGCAGGTGAAGGGAACAGGTTGTATTAACTATAGTAACATTGTATTTTGTTGACATTTTGTATTAACAGTAGAGGGAAGAGGAATATTGAAGGCATTATTAGAAAATAGAAGGTACCTGAGCAGTAGTTAGAGCATCAGCGTGGGCACTGAAGGGTCATGGGTTTGATTCTGGGTCAAGGGCATGTACCTGGGTTGCAAGTTTGATCCCTGGCCTAGGTCAGGGCACCTTTGGGAGGCAACAAATAGATGTGTTTCCCTCTCACATCAGTGTTTCTTTCTCTCTCTCTCTCTCTCTCTCCCTGGCCTAGGTCAGGGCACCTTTGGGAGGCAACAAATAGATGTGTTTCCCTCTCACATCAGTGTTTCTCTCTCTCTCTCTCTCTCTCTCTCTCTCTTCCCCTCTCTCCCTTCCATTCTATCTAAACAATGGAAAAATATCCTTGGGTGAGGATTAACGAAAAAATTAAAAATAGATAAGGAAATGGGTTAGTGATATAAGTGACAGCTAGCAACTAGTTAAGGCCTTTACTTTCTTTTTTTTTTTTAATAATAGTTTATTGATTTTGAGAGAGAGAGGGAGGGAGAGGAAGAGAGACAAATATCAATGTGAGAGCCCAACACCAATGGGCTAACTCCTGCACACCCCCTAGCTGGGATCAAGGCCAAAACCCTGCCATGTGCCCTTGACTGGGAATTGAACCAGCAACCTCCTCCTGCATGGGATAACACCCAACCAAGGAAGCCACACAGGCCAGGACAAGGCCTTAACTTTCTTTAGTTACAAGGAGGGCAACTTCAAGGCCTTGAAGATAAGAAGTCTGGTTTAGCCCTGGCCGGTTTGGCTCAGTGGTTGGAGCCTCGGCCTGCGGTCTGGAGAGACCCGGGTTTGGTTCCCACTAAGGGTGCATACCTCGGTTGCAGTTTGTCCCCGGTCCTGGTTGGTTGTGCGGGTGGCAGCCACTCGATGTGTCCCTTTCACATGGATGTTTCTCTCTCTCTCTCTCTCCCCACCCCTCCCACTCTACCTGAACAAAAAATGGAAAAACTGTCCTCGGGTGAGGATTTAAAAAAAAAAAAAAATGAAGTCTGGTTTAAACTGTATATATAATGACAATAATGATTCCAACATTACAGTGTTAAGCTTCAACAATACTATTTTATGTACATTATTGAATTAAATCTTCCTGTCACCCCCTTGAGTCACCTGTTATGTTTTGATAATTAAGAAAACAGGCTTAGCCTGTGTGACTCAG